TCCTAAACATCATTAGGACACAATCATCAATCAACCAAACCATTGAGTACAATTGCAAGGAAACTCTTCAACAAGCATGATAATCTTGCAATATGCCAAATATAGTCATTTAACTAACTAGGATCATTTTACCGATTAAATGACATTCCTAGCATTTTTCACAACATGCTCTAAGCTCCATTCTTCCTAGAACATAGCTAATTTAACAACATTTCATCTAAAACCCTAAAACACTATTCATAAACCTAACTCATGCAATTTCAAGGAATCATGAGGTTCAAGGGGTAGAATATTACCACCAATGGTTGCACAACCATGGATTGATGACTCCTCAAGCTTCCATGGAGGTAGAAACTCTCAAAACCCCAAAATCTCCCAAAGGGTCGAATTTTTGAGAGGCAATATCTCTCTCCACAATGCTCCCCACTCAAAACTAAGCTTAGATTATGAAAGAGGAGAAGATTTAGAGCGGTTTAGGCTTTTGAACGGATGAATTTGGTTGAGGATTGCTCCACCTAGGGTTCTCCCTCTCATTTCCTCTTCCTTTTCCCCCTCTTCTCCTTCTTCTCTTCTTTTCCTCTCCTCTGCACGACGGGTTGGGGAGGGACAATTGGGTTTATTTTGTTGCTTTGGTCACTTAACTTATGTTAAGTGACTTTAAGCGGGTATTGGTTCGTCTATCTATTCAACTCCAATAATTACCAAACTTTACCCAAAAGTCTGGAATATTATTCTAGGAATATTTACAATTTTATTTTTATATTTTGGGCACTTTCGCCAGTACCCATTTATACCCCTTAATTTTCACTGAGTACACTTTTTAACTCCAAAGTGACTCAGATTCATTTCATTAAGCCTTATACTTAATTTTACTCACTAAAACATGCTTAATTATTTAATTACTTGTAATTTGCTAATTACTTAGGTTAGGGCTATTATAATGTGAAGTGATAAACCTTTGGTTTACCATGTTTTTAGGCTAAATTATATGAGGAATATGTAGTAGATTGCATAGAATTCAAGGTTTTACAGCATATAAGTCAGAAAATAGGAATTTGAGCTAACGTTTTGATATTATTTGCATTTTGAAGGTAAAACCACAAAGATTGGTGCTAGTGCTAAAGAAATCATGACAAAGAAGTAGCAGCTCAATATGGACCAAGGGAAAACAACCAAGCTGGGCAATTCAGGGCGCTCAAGCGCCCAACAGCACGCTCAAGCGCCCAAGAATACAAAAATTCAGACTCGAGGAGCACGCTCGAGCGCCCTCAGACAGACAGCAACAACAATTTAGCACGCTCAAGCGGCCAACAGCGCGCTTGAGCGCCCAAGCACGTTCCTGACAGAAAAGATTTGCTGAGATTTAATGAAGATTTGCCAGATTGCGATATCCGGAACCAAAACGGAAACATATCAAAAGATATTCATGGAAGATTGAAGTAGGATATAACAAGATTCAAATCTCAAATCTATCAACCAATCTACAAGATCTTAATTGCAAAAAGGAAGCAATTGAAGAATCATTACAAATCTGATAAGGATTCGTTGAGAGATACAATGAAGATACAACTCCAATGGCTATAAATAAAGAGCTGAGGGTCAAAACCAATTCACAAGTCTAGAGCATTACACCAAGTCGGAAGGAGGAATCCTGTTTCGGAGCGCTAGAACACTGAGTATGCTAGGCTAGTCTTTTATGTAGTTAAGGGTAGATGGAACCCAATTGAATCGTTATGTTTATGAATTAAATTGTCTCTGAATTCTGTTTTTTTTATATTTGAATAAATTTATATGTCTTTATTGCTTTATATGAGTTTGTTCCTTATAGAATGATTTTGGGAAATTGTATGACAATAGGGATGTTGGTGCATGAACCCTGAATTGATAAATTTATCATAATCCTTGTGATCTAGGAATAGACATAGGGTAATTATGCAATCTTGGAATTCTTGATCTTAATGCATGTTTTCTTTGGGAATAATCGGGGAACCAGAGTTCTTTCAATATTACATAGATTTAGGGTAACAAGGAATTGAGCTCTAATTAACTTAGAAAGAATTGATTGACAATATATTAAGAAACAAATTCTTGACTGTTTAATTCATAACATATTGAGGAGATTGGAGGAAGTCGAAACTTTAACGACACTTGTTTTAATTCGTAATCAATAATCATCTTTTTCAATTGTCTTTTTAGTTCTGAATTTTCTTTAATTGAATGTTATTACTTGTTTTTAATTTTTAAGTTCTTCAAATACAATTCTTTTCATCTAAATTCTTGATTGTCCAACTAAGACACAATTAGCGAACTAGTGCTTGAAGATTCTAATCCTCGTGGGAACGATCTCGTACTCCGGTACACTTTATTACTTTACGACCGGTGCACTTGCCGAGTCGCAACATGAAGAAAAGAGAAAAAAAAAATAACATGAGCCTCGTACACTTTTCTATATGTGTAAGAGAAAATATTCTCTCTTCTAACATAAAAAAAATAATAATCCACACACACACACACTCTTCTAACATAAAAAAATAATAATCCACACACACACACACACATAATTTTTCTCATATTTTATGAGATAATTTTATCTTCTACACATATATAAAAGTGTGAAATGCCCATGTAGAACGATGTGAAGAAAAGAGAGAAAAAAAATAACATGAGCACCATACACTTTTATACATATGTAAGAAATAAAATTATCTCATAAAATATGAGAAATATTATATATATATATATATATATATATATATATATATATATATAGGGACAGGATCCTTTGACACCAGTGTCAAACTTTGAAATTACACTTATTAATTAATCATTAATTGGTAATAAATGATAACCGTTGATTGACGGAAATCAACGATTAAGATTTGGTGTCAAATTTTGAAAATTTGACACCGGTGTCAATGGATCCTATCCCATATATATATATATATATATATATATATATATATATATATATATATGGGGTAAACATTTCTGTAACCACTTCAGATAAGGTTATCTACATCTACCCAAAAACTACGTCGTTTTGATTAATGAAGGGTGTTTATGTAAATTTAGGTGAATTAATGAAGGGTATTTTCGTAATTTTGTTCATTTTTTGACCATATGTATTTTACTGAAACACCCTTCATTAATTTACTTAAAATTACAGAAACATCTTTCTTAATTAAAATGACGTAGTTTTTGGGTCGGTATTATCTAAAGTGGCTATAGAAATATTTTTTCATATATATATATATATATATATATATATATATATATATATATATAAGGATATGATATTCTACCTACCTCTGTCTACCACTCTTCAACACCGTTACATCAGAATCTCAAGAAGAGAGAGAAATATAAGTGTTAATTAAAATTCTGATCTAATGGTGTTTTAATATGGTAGGCAAAGATAGACAGAAAAAGAAGTAAGTAGAATAACATATATATATATATATATATATATAGGGAAAAATGTGTGTCATTTTAAAGGATGTAAAATTGTGTCATTTTAAGAGAGAGAAAGAGATAGATAAAGGAGAAAAAAGTTGACAAAAAAATAAAGGTGTGGGTCCCACCTTTTGTGAGAGTGAAGGTCATTTTAAATGACATAAGTTATGTCATTTTAGGAGAGAGATAGACACAGAAAAATGAAAATTAGGGAAGAGAGAAAGTGAGTGGTTTTTTTTTTAATTTAAAATTTAAATAAAAAAAAAATTTCTGTGTTTGTCTCTCTATTAAAATAACATAACTTTATGTTATTTAAAATGACAAACATTTTTCCTATATATATATATGGAAAATATTTCTCTGGCAGCTTGAGATAAGTTTATCTCCGGCCACCTCAAAATTAGGTCGTTTTATTTATTTATTTTCTTATATTAATTGATTCACCTTTAAATGGTTATGATTTCCTTTTTCTCTTTTTTTCCTTTATCACCATTGATCTATCTTTGTACGGTTATGATTTACTAGCTGGAGATAAGATTATTCAAGTAGCTTGAGAAACGATAAGCCATATATATATATAGGGTCAGGATCATTTTACACCAGTGTAAGTTACACTCTCAATCTTGACCATTGATCCCATTTATATCTAAGGGCTCTAATTTTTTAGTAATGTGAGTCATTGGATACAAGTGGATCAATGCTCAAGATTGAGTGTAAGACTTCTAACTCTTACAATGGTGTAAGAATATCCTGCCCCATATATATATATATATATATATATATAGGTGTCAAACTTCAAATTTGACACCGGTGTAAAGGATCCTGCCTCATATATATATATATATATATATATATATATATATATATATATATATATATATATATATGAGGCAGGATCCTTTGACACCGGTGTCAAATTTGAAGTTTGACACCTCATCTGAGAGCCGTTAGATCAAAAAAGATCAACGACTTTGATTTGTAAGCATGTGACACCATTGATGTTTTTTGATCTAACGACTCTCAGATGATGTGTCAAATAAATTTGACACCGGTGTCAAAGGATCCTACCTCTATATATATATATATATATATATATATGGGGCAGGATATTCTTACCCCGGTGTAAGAGTTAGAAGTCTTACACTCGATCTTGACCATTGATCCACTTGTATCCAATGGCTCACATTATTAAAAAATTAGAGCCCTTAGATATAAGTGGGATGAACAGACAAGATTGAGAGTGTAACTTACACTGGTGTAAAATGATCCTGACCCTATATATATATATATATATAGGGGCATGATATTCTTACACTGGTGTAAGAGTTAGAAATCTTACACTCAATCTTGAGCATTGATCCACTTGTATCTAATGGCTCAAATTACTAAAAAATTAGAGCCCTTATATATAAGTGGGATCAACGATCAAGATTGAAAGTGTAACTTACACTGATGTAAAATGATCCTAACCCATATATATATATATATATATATATATATATATATATATATATATATATATATATATATCACTCCTCATTCTGGAACCATGTGTACATACATAGCTGCTTCTTCTTCACCCTTCCAAAAAATCAGGAATTACTAGATTCTGCAACTGTGCTTCCGTAATGTTGAAGAAGAAGCTCTTCACGCCCCTTTCAACCTATTTGGGGCGCAGCTTAACTTCAATACCTGAACACTTCCCTTCGAACTTTTCTCCTCATATTAAACTTCCTCTTCACGCATTACCATCATCGCCCTTTGCACCCCACGATCGTCTTTGTCATAACTCCACTTGCTATTTTTCCCTTGGGTGCGTCAGATTTTCCGGGAAAAGTTTGTGCTCAAAATCTGCTGAAAAATTGGAAAGTAGGTGCTGGAATTGTCATGCTGTCCCTGAATCAGCAGCACCTTTTCTGGTCTGCGAGTCATGTCGGTGCATTCAACCCGTTGATGATTCCATTGACTATTTTGAAATATTTGGGTCGTAAGTTTCTGGGATTTTGATTTTATTGTTCTGGGTGCTGAAATTGCTGACAAAGTTTTGATCTTTATAACAATTCATTCGTTTTCACCTTGATTGTAAGAATGGATTTGTAATTTATATGGATATTGTTGATTCAGTCGTTTTGAGGTGCTCAAAAATTTTACTAGTAGGTGAAAACATAGTAATAATAATTTTTTTTTTTTTTTTTTGTAGATTATTGCTTGCTTCAATTTCAAGGTTGTAATGCATTTTTGTGTACTGTGTCTCATCAAGCAGAAAGAAATACTATATTCTTTTATTGTATGAATTGAAACTTGCTTTTTGTTTATGTAAGAATGATTAGGTCGTTGAAGTTTTATCCATCATGTATGTGTTATACTTGTGTCGTAGTTATATTTTCTGAGTTTCATCGCTGGGATGTAAATCAGTGGTTTTTGGGTTTTCTGATGAAGAAAAGAGAAATCTATTGATTTATTGTCTGATAATTTAATAGATAAGTTGAGAAATTTGGAAACATTTTTTTTTTTTTTTTTAAATTTTAAATTTAAAACAGGGAGAGGAAGTATGACATAGAAGGTAAGAATTTGGAGGGCAAGTACAAAGATTGGCAAAAGAAACTGCATCCTGATTTAGTACATTCAAAATCTCAGGTTGGTCTGATGGGGCCTCTCTGCTTCCTTTTTATTTCATATATTTTTTCCCTTATTCTTTCTGATTTTTCTTTTTACTCTTTCTGTTTTAATGGGGGATGGGGGAGGGTAGTGAAGTTGAATGTGTTGTTGGAGAAACTAATAGATTTTGTTTTTATTCCTTCAATTGATTAGAAAGAAAGAGAATTTTCTGCAGAACAATCTGCAAGGGTGATTGATGCATACCGTACACTTAGCAAGCCTTTATCAAGAGGGATTTACATGGTAAGCATACTTGCATGTGAAGATTCCAAATTGAAGATGCTTCATTACAATAGTAGAAATCTCTGCAGAATTTGGAAATTTGAAAATCTTAAAAGTTCAATGGTGATAATATATTTGTGATGGGAAAATTTATTATTTGAGTGTTGGAACATATATATCAAACATGCCATAAAGAGGATTTCTATAGATGTCTTTAGTTATATTATGTTGTTTGATTGTTTCTTCTGCCTTGTTACCAAGAAAGTTTGTGCCATTTTTTTAGCTGAAGCTTAATGGAATAGAAATTGATGAGGAACAGACGATTTCAGATCCAGAATTGCTAGCAGAGGTAACTGAATAGAGCCTGATTTATTTTCAATGTGAAATTTCCTTTTGACTTAATTTCTGTAGTAAACAAAATATCAGTAAAACAAGTACTTCGAAAGATGAGTGAAGAGTTATCCTCTTTGAAGCTTGAATCATGTCTCATTCTCAAGGTTCATTTGAAGTTTAAGATACTTGAGTCTCTATCTTCCACAGAGACAAACAAAATATCCAAAAAATGAAAAACATAACAATCTCTGAGTATATTTTTGAGCTGTAAATGAGAAGATTGATAATTGTAATGGCTAGAAACTGCCGTTGAGGATGGTTGCAAAATGAGTGAAAAAAATTGAATTATTTAATTTTTAATTTATTGAAGTCATGATGGATAGGTACTTTTTATAGCATTTGGAAATTCATTTCAATTTAGGACTGAGCTTTGTTAGTTTTTGGAACATTGACTTACCTTCTATGAAAGTGAAAATAATATGTGAAATTTCAATATCAGAAAAACATTTTAGCAAGGTAAATGTTCAATGGAAATGAAAGTGGCATTTTGTTATATCCTATCTCATCTTTCCCTCCTCTACAAAAGGAAAATCTAGCTTCCAATACCATTCTACTGCTAATTTTTGCTGCAGATTATGGAAATCAGGGAAGCCGTTGAAGAAGCAATGAACTCTGAGGCATTGAATCACATTCTCTCTCAGGTATGTCTGGAAACTCCAATCTGCAAGGCAGAGGTGCTACAAAGAGATTGCATAATCAGTTCAAATATGGATTTTGAATTATGATTACGTTGATGTTGTTTCTTCATATTATCCTCTGATTGTTCATCCAGATGCAGGAGAAACTGGAAAATTGGTCTAATGCCCTTGCTGATGCTTTTCAAAGCCGAAACTTTGAAGAAGCAAAAATTGCAATTAGGAGAATGACTTACTATAGTCGTGCAATTGATGAAGTTATAAAGAAGCTTTGATGTAGGTAATATCATCATTTTATGTTGCCTGATTCCTTAGGCTACACTTGGTAGAGATGAAATTAAGTGTTAGAATATATGATAAATGTCTCATAATATGTTGATTTTATCTTTAGAATAGTCTATAATATTTTATATGATCTCTCAGGAGTACTTTTCTTATTTATTTAGATTTCATGATTTATTTACTTATTTAAATAGGATTTGGACTTGAGTATAATATTAGAATAAATATGGATTAGTGGTTTGTAGCTTGGATCACATCATATCACATGATAACACAACAAATTAATACCAATTTCATATTATTTGGTCTTGATTATCTGTTTTCTTCCTTCCATTACCTAAATCCCTATATTTTCAACAATAAGAAATTTGAAAAGAAGAATTGAAGCTTGTGGTTAAAAGTGCTTTATGCTTACTGAAAGTAGGTCAATCAGAAAGAAAGAATAATGGACAGTAGCTATTTTCATGTCATCATTTAATTTTTTAATGTGAGAAAAAGAGCTGAAAATGGGAGTTAAAAGTAACTGTCATTACTTAAAACAAACTTGACCCACCTGCCCTTTTACATAGTAATTAGTAAAGTTTATAAGATTCTGAAGGCTACCATTTCATACCCCTCTGTTTTCTCTTATAATGCAAGGGTAAGAGAAGAGCAATCTATTGTCAGTCCTTCCACTTTTCTGCCTTTCTTCTGAGATTCTATGCTTAGCCCTATGTCATTTTGATTCCTATCTCGATTGTTCTTCTAATAACATGCTCCCAGGCAAAATCTTAGTGGAGGCATCCTTTGTTTGAGTTTATCAACAAGAGGAAATATTCTCACCATATATTCTTCATTTTTGAAAAAAAGATGCTTTTATCTTCGTTTTCTATCTGGCACAAGTTTACTTGACTGCCATATTGAAAGTGATTCTATCAGCTAATTTACGCACTCAAGTATAATCTGATAATTACAAGGTCCAAATCAAGGATGTAGAAAGGAGAAATTATAGCATGGTGCCATGGTCATGGAGCAGTAATTAATGCATGGTCCGGTAACATTTCCACCATTGATATTGAGTTGGGAGCCTATAATTGATGCAAGTGTGCTGATATCAATGGTGGAGATATTCCAGGAGCATGAATTAATTGGTACTCCAGGGAAGCATGCAATAATTTCTTTGTAGAAAGTGTGAGATAATTTGTTTCGTTCAAAATTCTACCACATAATTGTAAACTGTCTTGCTTTCTAGTGCTATATTTATATGAAGATCTACTAATTAATTGCTAATCCACTTCTGACACTATTGATCATTTTCCAGGCCATCATTACTGTTGTACCTGTTCTACCTTTTGTGCTTCAAGACTTTTACAGTAAAATGTATCTCTCCGTCAACAACTGATGATTCTACTGATATATTCTTTCTCTAGTTTACTACCTTGGAAATGTAATAGTTTATCTTAAGCTTCCCCTCCTTGTAATTCTGCCTCTGATTCTTTTATTTTCATATTATTATCGATTACATTAGTGTAGGCTTCATACACAGAGCTATTCCTTTGGGGGCAAATGTTAGATCAGTTGTCAGTATGAAGAATTTGACTCGCTTATCCGAATGAAGTGGCCTATCAGGAAATGACCATTTGATTTCAACAAATGTCTCAACGGTCCTTTTTGCTTTTATATGCACATGATGGAGTTTACATTTTGTCACCACATCATGAGGCACATCCTAAGCACGAGTACCCTTTAAGATGCGCTGCATGCTACTAAGCAACATTTGTGTATTCCTGAATAAAGTTATTATGTATGAGTATTACTCTCCTCACCAAAGAGTGATGACCTAGTGAATTTTGCTACATTGTATTTGATGTTATAAAGGTGTTTTGTGGCAAGGATAGCAATGCATTCATATGCGCTTATGCAGTTTTTGGTTTATAAGCGAGCTGCTAAAGAGTATTAAATCAACCATTTGGTCAGCTCTTCTTGAATAAGATCCACATATTATTTTTGTTTTTCTGATAATTATTACTTTCTTGACCCTAGCAAATTCTTACACCAACGGGGGTGTATTGGATTAGGATTTTAAAAGACTTTTATGAGATAAAAAATTCTACAGATTTTAAAAGACATTTTAGAATTGAAGAGACTTTAAAGACTTTTTTAAAAGACTTTTTTTACAATCAAGATTTCATAAGATTGTATTTTAAAGGATTTTAATAGAATTTATAAGATTTGAAAGGATAATATGGATTTTTAAGATTTTAAAAAATCATATGAATTTTTAACAAATATTCAAAATTACAAGAGTCAATATAAAAGGGAAATGTTATACTTACAATCTATTTTTGTTTACAACATTTTACAACCATATCTTAACTGTTGATTTTCGTCAATCAACGGTTATCATTCATTGCAAATTAAATATTAATTAATGAGTTTAATTTGCGAAAATAATAACCATTGATTGACGGAAATCAACGGTTAAGATATGGTTGTAAAAGGTTGTAAACAAAATAGGTTGTAAGTATAATCTTCCCTATAAAAAATAACAAAGAAATGCAATAAAATTAATAAAAAAAAGTAAAACCTAATGTAATTTTCTCAATCAGTAAAACATAATATAATTTTTAACAAACATTCAAAATTACTAAACAATAGCTTTTCACATATCTAATGACTAATAGGTTGAAAATTATCTTTTTATTTGGTATCAAAGCTATGCATGTATGATTATAAGATCCAATTTTTTTTAATTATAAAATATAGAACCTAAAGTTCATAATAAAATTTCGTTTGGAATTTTTGCAATTGATCTTGAAAACCTTGGGGTTTTTGGAATTTTCTAACCATATGAATATGAAATTTTGGGTTTAATTACATGAAAGTTTAGAAAAAATTTCAAATTTTTTCAATCGATTCATTGAAACCTTAAATTGCTTTAGGGTCTTTTGAGAAACAAGCTTTTAGTTATCTATTGACACAAAAATTGTTTAAAATCGTTTTCTATAGTGAAGGAATTTCGTTCATGAATGTGTTGTTACGAAATATAGGGTTCATATGATGAAAGTTTCAATCTTTCTTTAAATTGATATTGTTTCATTGATGTAAAACAAAAATTGATTTGAGGGTTTTAATTCTCCTGTTATTTTTTCACTGTTTTATGTTGTTTTTAATACAAAAGCCACACGTTTTTGTGCCAAAAAAAAACCCGCAACCCATAGCTTGAAAAATCACTCTTTAAACTTCCAAAATTTCTCAAAAATGGCTAAAAAATATGTTAATTTTGAGATAGATTATATTAAAATCTCGTTGGTTTGTTGTTATTGGGTTGTTTTGTGATGAAAAGCGCTCAAAAATATATATATATTTTTTTAGTTTTGAGGAAGCTCCCATGGCGGAACCCAATTTCGAGCAGTCAACCTACCAAACGAAGAAGAAAACACTGCAATAGAAGAATCTCAAGAAATCCTAGGGGTTGGGGTGAGATTGTGAGAGAGACATCCTATTTATATTTTTCATTAAAAAGTCTCACGAAATCCACACAATAGAAAATCCATTAAAATCGTCAAATTTTTGAATACCACGAGATTGTGATTCCATTGTTTAAAATCCTGATTGAATACCAACGGATTTAGACGGATTCTAAAATAATCCTTTAAAATCCTAATCGAATATCACGTGACTTTTTTTCAATCCATTAAAATTCTAATCGAATACCAACAGATTTTTTTGTCCAAAAATAATTCATTAAAATCCTTTGAAATCTCAATCCAATACACTCCCCGGAGTGACTTTTTGAAGGGATGAACAAAGTTTCAAACTGCATAGAAAACGTGCTGCAAAACAATTAAAAACAAGAAACTGTACATTCTCATGAAATCATGTTATGAGCTTGCGCTTTCTTTTTAGTTCTGATTTTTGTTGCAGTACAACACGGGCTAAATCTTGTTTACCTTCTCTGTTTAGCCCATAAAAAACTGTTCTGAAATTAATAGTACTGGGAACAATTCCACTTTCCAACATTTCAGAAATAAGTTGCATTGCTTCTTCAGATCTCCCAACCTTGCATAGACAAGTAAGGAACATGGAATAAGTTTTAAAATCAGGAGAGGGTCCTTTCAATTTCATATGATAGAAGATATTCCATGCATCAGTATGCCTCCCCACGTTCATGTACCCACGTATAAGTGCAGAGTATGTAACAATGTTTGGCTCATAACCTGACTGTTGCATTTCCTCAAAAATCTGAATAGCTTTTCCTACCTGTTTCTCTTTAAAGAAATGAACTATTAATGATGTATAAACATGGATGGAAAGTGTTAAGCCCTCCTGTTTCATGGTATCCACCTTGGCTAATGCCTCTTCTAATCTACCCTTGCGTAATAGACCATAGACAATGCTTCCACAAGTTAGCTGATCTAAACTAGATTTCTCTGCCCCAACATTTTCAACTAATGCCAATGCTTCTTCCACTCTCCCAGCTCTACAAAGAGCCCTGATAAACAAGGCATAGCTAAAAGGAACTGTATAGCCAAATTTTTGAAGAGAATCTATGCATCTCCTAGCCTCTAACAGCCTACCAACTTCACATAAACAACCAAGGTAAGTTTCAATCACTTCTTTGTCAGGGTCATATCCTGAACTAATCATCTCATCATATATTTTGAGAGCATCATCAACCTTCCTTCCTTTCCTCCCACAAAAGGCAACAATCAAATACTTGTATGTACTCCTACTTGGGCTATATCCATCAGCTTTCATCTCTTTGAAACAATTCTTGGCCATCTCTGTCAGACCTGTTCGGCCATATAGCATTATCATGATTGTCCATGTTTCTGATGTTACTGGATAACTGTTTCTTCTCATTTCGAAGAACAGGTTGCGCATGTGCTTAAAATCTTTCCCACAACCTGCAATTTTAATTGCCATGTTGTAAGATTCTGCAGTGTGTCTAAAGCCAGTTTGCTTTCCCACCCATGAAAAAAACTTTAGCACAGTGTTACCATGCATACTGCAATTTTGCATTATCTCCATAACAAATTCTGGGGTGAACTGAATGGTGCTTTTCTCCAACTTTTCTTGGATTAAGGACCAATCCATAGAGGATGAAAGAATCCTACAAACTTCATGAACATCCTGCTCGCTGTAAGTCTTAAGGTGTGGATGTACTAAAGAGCAATCTACTTTTTCTGAATTTGATTGGTCAACTCCTACATCCTCTTCCACCATAGTTCTCAAAGATACTTGTTTTTCAGAGACACTGAAATTTTCAGGATTAAGTTTAGATGATGTATGCATCTGCTGGACTTTCTCTTTCACAGCAAGCTCCCCCTCGTTCTCCATATAACTCATAACCCAATGGAATACTTCATCTCGAAGTACAATCTTTGAAGCCTGCATTTCGTCCAATACTTTGACAATGTCATCTGTCCTTGAAGCCTTGCAAAGCTCCTTAATAAATACTGCATATGTTTTCCAAGTGGGCTTGATTCCATGGCACTGCATACTCTTGAAAATTTTCCATGCTTCAGATACACGGTTATGTGAAACATTACCTGCAACCATGGCTGTTATTGCCACAATATCTGGCTTAATTCCTTTTCCCAGCATCTCATCGTACAGCACGCAAGCTTCTTCATACCTACTCAACTTAAAGAGATGCTGTATCAGTTCTGTATATGTGGAAACTGCAGGCACATAACCAGATTCTTTCATGCTTTGAAACACATCGAGTGCGTTGTGAACATCATTTCTCCCCAAATAACCATTTATGATAATCCCATGAACCTTTCCATCAACAATATCCCTTCTCTTCATAATTTCAACAATCTCTGAAGCGTCTGTAATCCTGCCTGCCTTACACAACCCTCTCACCAAGTTTTCAAAAGATTCAGGTTCAAGAGCTAAATCTTTATTTTTGAGGTCACGAATCAATTCCAAAGCCTCTTTAATCCTCCCAGAAATACAAAAACTCTTCAGCATACAGCCATGAATACAATTTTCTGGCATCAGAGACAACCGTGACATGTCATTTCCAAGCAAACTAACAGCTGCAACATCTCCTGATCTTGCCACGCAATTCATGAGCATTTTATACAACCTTATATCAAGTACCATATCCTTCTGGAGCATGTCCTTGTAGAACTCCATAGCAATATCACCCTTGCCAGAAATGCAAAGCGAACGGATAATTTCTCTATACGAAACTGCATCAGGTTCACATCCACATCTTTTCATATTTTCAAAGGCCAACAATGCTTCACTGATTTTCTTTGCCTTCCCATAGTGGGATATGAGGATGGTCCACGTATTAACATCCTTTTGAACATGATACTCATCCATTTCTTCCACCAACTTCTTCACCAACCCAAATTCCTTAGCTTCTCCAGCAATATACAACATGGTATTATAAGTCTGTGTTGTGTGACTAAAACCATTTTTGAGCTTCAGCCAATTGAAAACCCTTAAAGCCAAATGTGGCACTTTGAAGCACCTTTTCAACACACTGTCAAAAACCTCAGTTTTCAAGCCATAACTAAGATTTTCTAACCGCTCTTCCAGAGAAATGGAATCATTTTCCGATCGAACAATCTCAGTAATCTCACCAACTACACGGCTCAGATCTTCTTCGTCCATATTTCCCAACTGGGCACCTTCCAAAGTGGCAAAGTTCTTGTCTTTATCTAGCAACACATTCTCTGCGCCATTTCCACAAACACCTTTGGTGCAAGTGGGTTCCTCCTTAGAACCAGCTTCGCACTCAGGAGGTTCAACCGGAAACAAAAACCCAGATGGGGATTGGTCTGGGATCACGGCCTCAGCGCCTAAAATCTCGGTAATCTCATTGAAAAGTGCACGTGAGGCATCGGTGTCAGAGTTCTTGTTGTTGGAAAGTAGTTGTTTTGTTCTTCTATGAGGGCGTGAAGGCTTTGATGAATTAGAGGCGCCAGAAAAATGCAAAACGTGAGATTGTGAAAGGAGATAGCTCAAAGTTGAATCAAGGGATCGAAGCTTGCTTAATGCTCTCATGGCAAGCGTTCTGATTCTTCTGAAACTTCCAAATATTTTTGTCACAATTCAACTGAGCAAATTCAATTACATAAATAAATTGATTACGCAAAATTGTTACTCATTTATTTACTTTTTAAACATTTTATTAGTGATGTTATGTATTTCATTCAATTGCATGTGGATATTTTATGTTGGCAAACACATGAACAGTTAAACTTAGGGTTGAAATGTCATGATGCATTTAACAGATGAATTTAAAAAACATAACTATTGAAAATTTGGATTTTGTTTCGGAGGTCATATCAAACTAAATTAATATAATATATTAATGACTTTATGTGTAAATGTTATATTATGCAAGTTTATTTATCAAATTGTGTTTATAAATTAAAATAATAAATAACACTATTGACTTAAAGGGGTAAATTTAGTATTCTATATCGATATATGAGTGATATATTGAAACAGAGATACAAACCAAAGTTTAATGCGAGAGTTAGCTTAGGCTAAGGAGAAAATTTTCTGTGCTTCAGAATTACAAAGTATTCGGTGCCTTTTTTTATTAAATATAATAAAACTAATATTTTATACTATCTTTAATTTTATAATTATTTTTACGAGGAAGGTTATACTTATAACTTTTTTTTTTACAATCTCTTACAACCATATCTTAACACCGTTGATTTCTGTCAATCAACAGTTATCATTTGTTGTAAATTAATAATTAATTAATGAGTTTAATTTACAAAAATAATAACCGTTGGTTGACGAAAATCAACGGTGTTAAGATATAATTATAAGAGGTTATAAAAAAAAAGGTTGTACTTCCTTTATTTTCATTTATATATCATTTTTCTTTTTTTTTTTGGAGCAAGAATTATAGATCCAGGACTACAAAAACTTTTCTGAAAGCTAAGAATCAAAGGAAGAGAGTGTGGGCTACGGTGAATTTGTAAATGGATAATATTATATAATAATGAATAATTGAGAGTAACAAGTGTTTATATCCTTACTAGCCTCACTAAATGTAAGATAAACTTTATCACTTGTGAATGCAATTCAAATATAGTGAAATGAGATTTAGTATGATAAAATAATATTTATCTCAATTTAAGAAAATAAGAAATAACCTTTTATCGGGCCTTGGAAACTAGCCCAAACCCATAGACCAGTTCAAAACTGATGAATTATACACGTTCTCGAACAATGTTTTATTTCTCTTGTTTCTTTATATATTGTATTGTGTATTCTTGATCTCACTCCAAATTGGCATTTCAATATTGTTTGTGAAGAATACATTATCCATTATAAAAGATGATCCAATTGCATGACTTCAATTTAATTAGTCAAACTGAAAATGGTTTCTTTTTTAATTTTTTTTTTTACATAATATCACAATGTATTTAGATACTTTTATAAAAAAAAACCTTGAATTTTCAATTTAAATAATTAACCCTTTTACTATAACATTTAACAATAAATTATTTAATAAATGAGAGAGGTCATACTCATAATCTCTTTTGCTTTGCAACCTCTTATAACTATTTTTATTATCGTTGAATCAAAATTAAATCAACAGTTTCAAAATTACATCAAGTAAGAGCCGTTGATTTAATTTTGATTTAGCGATAATAAAAATAGTTGTAAACATTGTAAGATAAAAGAGGTTGTAAGTATAATTTTTCTCTTATAAATTTAAGATAAAAACTACTATTCTCAACCCAATACTCGTCAATATTAGTCATCGCTATCCACCCGCCATCATCGTCCAATGCTTGTCACCCCATCGTTGGCCACTTATTAGAAAAATATTATAAAAAGGGTTGATCATAGTGTGTTATACATCTAAAAAATATGAAAGATATACATACTAATTCAAACTATCTTTGTATACTACAAAAATCAAACTATTTTTGAAGTTGTTTGACTTTCCCTTTTATTAAGTAAACCAAGAAGTATATGATAGGTTGCTTTTATACAAAAAGGATAAGCTTAAGAGGAAGATAAAAAAACAAATGGAGCAATTTTTTGATGCCTTTTACTGAAAGATCAATCCCTTTAAATAGAGATTACAAGCTACTAATGGATACAAAATAAAATCAACTACTACTGCTAGAATAAAATAATTGTTACATGATGCTAATATGAAGGTAAAATAACTACCCAATAACTTCAACATGCTAGGAAAATGTCATAAAAAAATAGGAAGTGGGATCGTGTGATGGGGCTTCAGTTAGTTACTCTTGTTGTGCACTCCTTGCACATAGTCAGAGAAGTATGTTGGTGGCCAACATGGATGATGTGTTAGAAGTACTAATGATTAATTTGTATCACCCTCTTCTCCATTAAAACAAACCTTGTCCCCAAGGTTCTCGATGTCTGTATCTAGAAGTGCGGTCTATTTGTTGCAGAAAGGTCTCCAAAATAAGGCTTAAGCAATGAGACATGGAAGGTTGAGTGGATACGAGAAGTAGAGGGAAGAATAATTTGTAAGCAATTGCTCCAACTTTGGCAAGGATCTGGAAAGGTCCATAATAACTCCCGGACAATTTATAAGACTGATGTTGTTGCCTATAAAAGTGGAGTTTGACCAGCACCCATTGACCAACATCAAAGTGTCGATCAGTGCATTTTGTATCAGCAAGTGCCTTCATTCGTTGCTGGGCTCAGAATAGTTTGTATTTCAGGAGGCACAAAAGTGTGTCACGATCATGTAATAGGAAATCAACCTGGTGGTCATGTGCTCCGCTAGAAACATAATCTGGAATTGTAAGAGGTGGGCGGCCATATAGAGCTTCAAATGCAGTCATTTTTGCTGAAGAGTGGAATGTAGTGTTGTACCAATATTCGGCCTAATATAAGTATTTAGACCAAGTAAATGGTTGGTTCATGGTAAAACAACGAAGATATTGCTCAAGGCAACGATTAAATTGAGTTGTGAAGTGATTGGCAGTGAAACAAAATAGGCATACTTTCACAAACGATCAGCAATAACCATGAATGACATCTTGTCGTGGGATGATGGAAGACCAGTGATAAAATCCATTGTGATATCGTCCCAAACTGTCAGGGATTGGAAGGGGTTGAAGTGTCCATTAGGTGATGTGGTGGTTGACTTAGTTTGTTGACACATAAGACAATCACGCACCCATTGTTTGATGTCTCGCTTCATGTTGGTCCAGTAGAAGGCTTAAGAAAGGCAACAAGGTGTTCTATAAAATCCTGAGTGGCAGCCAATGTGAGTTTTATAGTGTTCATTGAACATTTCTTTGCAAAGTGGGGAGCTGGCTGGTATATATAACATGTCTTTTAAAAAAAGCAACTCATTAGTTAAATGATAAGAAATTAGTGCATAAGGGGTTTGGCAAACAATATCCAGGAGGTCATGACACTTGGGATTAGCATGTAGTGCTTCCTGTATGCGGGTAATGAGCGCAGGTACAAGGATAGAAAAAGCAAGAAGTGTTTTGTCATGGCAGTGAGATATGGCATTAGCAGCAACATTAGTTTTGCCAGATATAGATAATACGATAATGAAAACCCATTAATTTATATAACCATTGTTCCTGCTCTAGTGTGTGGATTAACTAAATAAGTAGGAGATGGAGATTGTAACAGCTAGTTCAAATAGGAAACTCTCTGCCAAGAAGATAATGATGCCATTTATAGACCACCTCTATCAGTGCATAGAGTTCCTTGTTGTAGGAAAAGGTGGCTTGAATGCGTGGTGAAAATAGTTTGCTGTAAAAAGCAAGTGGGTGCCCTTGTTATGATAATACAACACCTGTTGATACAATGTATGATTTGATGATAACAAAGTGGCAACAACAAAAAGAGAATAACATTGATCAAGAGCAAAAAGCATCAACCATATGTAAATTTTTGCCAATCAAACTTATTAATTAATAATTAATTCCCAATAAATGATAACTGTTGATTGACATGATTGAAGATGCATGGTGGAGCAACAAGGAAGAATAAGAGGATACAAATCAATATCAAAGGCAACAAATCATGGACAACATCTAACAGAAAATCAATATAACAGTCATGGTGAAAAATGATCAAAACTAACAAAATATCAAGCATTGTCATATCCAACAAGTCAAAGCATCAAGCTCAAGTAAAGATCCACGACATAAGACATGAAGCTAAATCTAAAATCATATTTAGAATATATCTTTAGGACTTAGAATCGATTACCACTATGGTAATCGATTGCCTTCTGCATTTTTTTTAAACATCAAAGGAATATAAAAAAAATACTAGCTAACACAAATTCTAGGCAAACGATTTCATGTCATGTCCCTATGGAGAAGACTAAGACATCCAAATACAGGTTGCATATAGGGATGTGCATGGGTCAAACCGAACCGACTTCTTTGAAAAACTGAAACGAATTGGTTTAAACGGTTCGGTTCGAAAATGGATTGGTTCGGTTCGGAAGTGGTTCGGTTCGGTTGGAAACAGTTCGGTTCGGAACCGGTTTGGGTCGACCCTATTTTGAAAATAAAAAAATTTAAAATTTTAAAAATAAAGTTATAAAATTCAATTTGGTTCGGTTCGGAAACGGTTTGGTTTGTAAACTGGTTCTAAAAACTTGTTCGTTCATGAACTGGTTCTTTAAAAACTGGTTTGGTTCATGAACTGATTTTTAAAATCGGTTATTTTAAGTGCAGTTCAGTTCGGTTCATGGTTCGGTTTAATTTTTTAGTTATTTTGCACACCTCTAGTTGCCAAAATAGTTGAGTATCTCATCCGAATGTGAATGTAATTGTTGCAAGCCAATCTGCGATGATATTCCTTTCCTTGTAAGTATGGGAGATGCTAACCAACCAGGCTTTATCATGAGCATACATATTTTCTGGACCAAGGCAACCACAGGGTGTTGCATTGCACAACCGTTAAATACCATATCTATAGCTATCATGGAATCATTTTCTAGCCATACCTTCTCAAAGCCTTTTTCCCAAACCAGACTCAGGCCAATGAAATCCCTTATAATTTTGCTCGTAAGG